CACCATTAATAGATTTGGTAAAGAAAGTATAAATAGGAGCTGGCTGGAGATATTATGGTGCTCGCACACACAACCGATTTGCTCGGGTTTCTAAATCGAAGTATTATTATTAATCGATCGATTATGCCGTTGAATTAGGCAAAACAATCGGTTACCTGTTTCGTCTTAGTCGTTGGCGACAATGGGCAGGCATGGATTGTAACGAGTTAGTAATTCAAATCCCAAGATTTTAAGATAAACAAAGTGACGATTTAGATCATAGGTAAGCACACGATAAACATTTTAAATGCAAAGGTATTTATTACTTGTCCTCAATATCAATATCGCTCTCAGCACCGCTGCATTCGCTTCCTATATCATCGTCAGAAGTGATTTCTTCCTCTGCAATTTTGTAGCGCTCTAGTTCGGTAACAATAGTGTCAAGTTGCTCGACGACATCTTCTTCTATGTCGGCCTCCCGAACATCAGTAAGGAAGCCTGCCCTCGCAAAACCACTAATTATTGTCTTAGACGACAATTTTCGACCAGCCAGAAGTGATCCGTTCCGTCATCACCAGCGAAAACGTTTCCACATCGAGTTTTTTCTAAGGGTAGCCACTTTCCGACTCGCATTTTCTTGATCAAGTTTTGTTTGAGCAAGCAAAATGTCATCTTCAATTAGTTTTTGCGCTGACGTCGCTCTTGTTTACCGCTGTTGTATGTACAAAGTTGCTGTCTAATAGAATTAATCCACAGTGCGCGAAGCTCACATTTAAAAGGTTGATTCCACGAGATGTCAGCAGGCTGACACACATAGGTATACTTGGGGGGAACCTTGAGCAGAACAACATTTAAAGAGGCTGCAAAGTCATGAACGGTCTGGGTCCAATGTGCGCTAAAGCCGTCTTATAGTAAAGGCACATATTCGTGACGATTTTCACGGTAAGCGAAATGATACTCCAAAAATTTGATCGAAAGTTTCTCGTTCCACCATGCCGTGTTGCTGCCGTAAATTTTACAGAGAGCTTTATCCTGAAGTATTTTGATTTCGCGCCAAACTGTTGTACCAAACCCGTTTAGCAAGCTGTCATTTTCTTTCTGCTTGCCTTTTGTTTTGGATGGTGCGGCTTTAAACAAAACAAAAGTGTCAAATTGGTTTCCACTTGAATCGCCGAGTAACATAGCTGTCGCCCTTTGTTTGTCCTGATTACCGCAACGAATCCAAACCGTCTTCGTACCCTTGTCTGTAATTGTTCGCTTAGGAACGTACTAAAAAAAACGGCTACTTTAAGCGAAAACGTTATTATATCATGAAGTCAAAAAATAAGAAAAATACAATTTCGAACTTACCCGTTTGGTCTGCATTAAACACCTGGACACATTTTTGTTCAACAATTGTTTGCAGTACCTTTGACCTAAATTCTTGAAGACTCGCGCTGCATCTTCAGGGGTTGTTTTCCCTTGGCGCGTCTTGGAACGTAGAGACAGCTTATGGCGGCGTGTAAACATCTTTATCCATGATGGGGACGCCGAAAACTGATCTTCCGTAAGTCCACAGTCCTCTGCCACCTCCAAACCCCTAAGTTTCATCATCGTGCGCGATACCGGCGCGTCGTCCTTTCTAAGAGAGTTGATGCACAGAACAATGTCTTCTTCAGCCTCTTTAAATAGCACTGTTGCCGTACCACGCTCACGAAGGTTGAGGTGGCGTATATGCCCGCTTTCGCAAGCCAATTTTATCGTCGCATCATTACCACGCCATTTACTGAGAAGTTGCTGCTTTGATCGTCGCTCCTTGCCGGTCAAAGTACCGTAGAAGTAGTCCAAAGCTTCACTAGGCGTATGGCCTGCATCTAAGTAGGTGATAATCTCTTTCTTGTGGTCATACTCAACACGAACTCGCTTGTATTGTTTGCGCTACTTTTCCGTGCCCTTGATGGCTGGCCGTGCCATCCTGATTTAAGTGTGCAGGAACGAATTGGTTTCTTGAATACTTAAAATTAGGTGACCGTTAATTTTCACCTTCTGTTTTTTTTTCAGATCATCCTATTGGCTGTCGCTTAGGACCAAACGTCGCCTATTACTAAGACGATACGGTATTACAAAAATATATGTAGCATAATAAAAGTCTGCATTTTTTTAATCGCACTTTTTCTTTTCCCGATTTTATGGTTTGAGGTGTATAAATATTGGTCATTTATGCAACTTGGATTGCAACCATAGTTTTGATAGGCTAATATTTCGAAGGATAAGGTTTGATTGGCTGAATTGAACCGTGTTGAAGTGCTACAATCGCAGACTTGGATGTCCTCCACGTCTACGATCTGTACGAAGTTTAACTAAAATACTAGACACAGAGAGATTCCTACCGTACGTTTGATACACTCTATCTATTGCAGAGTCGCTAGTGTGTCCAGAGCGAACCAATTGAGAAATAACATCCCAGAAGACTTTCCGCCTGGAGTAGGCGAACTTGTTTGCGCCTCGCTCAATGGATGTAAACTCCTTGGCTGGTTTAAGCCCACCGGATCCGAGCTGATACTCGTGCCAAAGTTCATACAGGTCTTTAGGTCTCTTTGAAAGACGTGCCGCGTTTTGTCCACGAAATCCACCTTGAGCAGTGTTTGTTGGTGGATACGGTACTCCGTGCCCATCAGTAGTACGAGGTGTGAACGGCTGCATGGCTATCCGTCTCAAGATAGCTTGTATCTTTTGCATCTCTCGATGTGACTCGCTTCGGGACCGCAGTACTTCATTCATAACCTCTGCCATGTAGCGACGGCCAGACGCTATTTGAGATTGTACAGCAGCCATTTCACGTTGAGTCCCCTGTCCATTGGAGCCCGCTACCAATGCACTTCTTGCAGAAACAATACTACCAACACCAGATTCCACTTCTTGCGTTTTGTCAATAACGACGAGATTGAGCTGAGACCCGTCCCCCAAGACATAAAATTCTTGTCTTTGAATCGGATTCAAATTCGTACTTCCACCGGCGTTAATGTAAGCCCGTAAAATTCTTTTTTTCAGCTTTTCCGGAAGAAGACAATAATTAAAGCTGGAATCCGTCTCCAGCGCAGCCCACAGTAACACCTGTGCCAATGTTTTTGCTATTGGCTCTCCCATGACCTGTTTAATTGTTGGAGCAATATCGTCGACGAGAAGTGGTGTAGTGACACACCGCATGCCCTCTTTCAGCGAGTAAAAGCAAGGTCCAGCTGGACCAGCAAGGACTGCGGCGGTGCATGCGTCCGGATAAGGCTGAGTGTTGTCGATATACACGTCGACGACGCCTTTGCGAGTTCTCCACCGTCCTCGCCGATTGACAAAGTCTTTAGATACACCACTACGAGTCGCATAAGTAGCAGCACCTTTACGGAAGCTGTGCGTTCCCAGCTTTCCCGTCTTCAACGACTTAAATTCCGATTTTTTAATTGTATCAGCTAGAAAACGCCTCACCACTCGATCTCCATCGTTTGGATTTCCAAATAAGAAAGAAGATCTTGCCACATTCACCGTTGCCTCGATGTATACTGCAAGATTGAGCAGGGGACACATTCTGGGATCCATACTACCAACCACAATCTGTTCCGGAGCGTCTCTCTCTTCGGATATATTTTTCGACCATCGCATTTGACATAGAATAGTAGACGGGTACTGAGTGTTGTGAGTGAAATTGTTAAATTGAAGCTTCATCATGTCGTCGATGCGAGCAACAATATGCCACTGCAGTGTCAAAACACTGCTAACCATGAGTTGTTCATCAGAGCGTGAATGCAGCGATCTTACCAGCGTCAACACGTTCATGAATTCATCAAATTCAAAAGAGCGACGAGCTTTTGACTCAGCACCTTCCCGACGAACTTCAAAGCGCTTGACTCTTTTTATGAGCTTGTTGACATCATCGGAGCGTGTTGGATTGCCTTGCTTGGCCACGGGGTCCCATGGTGCGTTGATCCTAGGCTGGTACGCTGAGATGGCTTTCTTGGCGAACTCCAGCGTGCTCGACCGAAGGTGAACAGGCCTCATGTCTTCGCTTGGCTCTGAATCTCCGTAGGCCCGCGTGTTCATCCAGCGGCACAGCAGTCCAGGCGTGATACTGAGGAGGTCCGCTGGCGTGAATTCGTGGTTAGCAGTGTACTCCTTGTCGTCCTTGAACGACATGAACTTTACGAGCTCTGCCTTGTAGCGGCTAGTGCTCATTGTGGTGGATTGTATTTTCAAACTGAATCTTTCACGTTGCAACCATGACTTAGTTTTTGTATACGAGCTGTGTACCCTCTCGTTTGCAGCCGTGACTTAGCTTCACTATAGGTAACTTGACTTGAAATTTGTATACTAGGGTTGCAAAAGTCGACCGTTCACGCTACCGTACATGCAACGATAGTTGCAAACGGCACTCCACATCTAGGCACGGTATCGACCTCAGATCTGGCTGATACCGAGAAGACAGCCAATCGTAGCTTCGGATTTCAAGAAATACAACCCGGGTTGCAAATGGCCAATAATGTACATGTATTGGAAGTTTTGCCTATTACATGTAATAGTGCGAGGAGCCAACGGAGAACAGGTTTGGGTTTTGCGCTGCAGAGAGCACGAGGGTTTATTCTGAAGGCAATAGAGAACAAAGAACTAAGCAGCAAGTATCGTAGGATACGTTGGCACTTCCAGCTCCCACGTTGGTGTTCTTTGTGCTCTCCCCGATCTACACCTCGGTATTATTGAAGTCCAGCTTCGTGGCAATTGCACAAGCTTGTCATGTTTCGCTCTTGTTGTGGGGAATAACCTCTACCATTCGTCTGGTGAAGTAGCGGATCGAAGAGATCATCACCAATAGCAGGGTTCCAATGGGAAGCCGAGAAAGACAAGATCATGCGGGTGTGCCATTTATCTCAAAACCTCTGGTATTAGTGAGTGAAGGATAATATATATATGTGCTTCCAGCCACACTCTTTTTCTTGTCGCTCTTTTGCGAGCATCAACTTCAACCCATTGACCAACACTCACAGTATCAGATTCGACGGGGCGAGGCGACGTAGATCCAAAAGCAGCTAAGACCGCAACAACAAGGAAAGCTCGTCATCCCTCCTCGCCGCCGCGTCCCGCACTCGCCACTCTGCAACTCTCCAGCAGCCATGGAGGTCTATGAGCGAAGGAACAGCTTCAGCCTTGCAGCTGACGTCGACGCTACAGCCGTCGACCATAAGGAAGACTTGCACGTGTCCAATCAGGACGAGGAGGCAAAAGTAACGACCCCGGAAACCAACCAAGACACGCTGCGCACACTGCGTCTGGCCTTCGTGGGTAACGTTGACAGTGGCAAGTCGAGTCTCATCGGAACACTGATCAAGGGAGAGCTGGACGACGGCCGAGGCTCCTCTCGCCAGGCCATCTTCCGCCACAAACATGAGGTCGAATCAGGTCGTACCAGCAGCGTGGCCACAGCTTATCTAGGCTTTGATGAACAAGGAGAGCAGATTTTATCCAAGCGAGCTGGTAAGCTTATCCCTTGGGGGGAGCTGGCCAAGATAGCCCACAAGCGCATCCAACTAATCGACCTGGCCGGCCACGAGAAGTATCTCAAGACGACAGTGTTCGGACTCACGGGTATGCAACCAGATGTGGTTGTAGTCGTGGTGGGGGCCAACATGGGTGTCAAGAGGATGACCAAGGAACACCTGGCCATCGCTGTAGCGGTGAGTCTATTGTGGTTTTTTTGTATTGTAAGTTGATATTGACGCTATCTTTGCTGAAAGTTGGAGATTCCGATCGTAGTCGCGTTGACGAAGATCGATATTGCACCCAAGAATGTGGCCAAGGAAACGTTGGCCACTGTTCGTCAGGCATTACGACGCTGTACGTTGCCCGAATAGTACGATAAAGTATTAGCTACTAACACTTGTTTCTACTAAAGACGGGAAGATGGCGATGCTTGTCAAGACGACGGAGCAGGCGGTGACAGCAGCGAAGAGTATCCCATCGAACCGCATTACGCCTATTCTACCGATCTCCAATGTTACAGGCGACGGACTGGAAAATCTCCGTCGGATACTTTGTGACACGTCTCCGTCGGCGCTGTTCAAGGCTGGACTGTCAGCCTCGACGCTTGCGACGACCAAGTCGATGAATCAGGAGGAAAGTATTACAATAGCGACCTCAACCGGCGCCGGGGATTCAAAGAAGAAGGCGATTTCTGTCAGTGACGTGGTTGAAATGCCTATCGACGAGACGTACCAAGTCCCTGGCGTTGGATTTATCTTGGCCGGGACGTTAATGACTGGAAGCTTCAAAGTCAACGATGCACTGCAGATTGGACCCGACTACAATGGCCAATTCCACAAGGTTACAGTGCGCTCGATGGAGTCGATGTATATGCCTTTGAAGGAGCTCGTCCCGGGCCAAACTGCAGCTGTGGCAGTTCGTTCCGTCAACAAGAAATTCGTGCTGAGTCGATTAACGTTCCGCAAAGGAATGATCTTGTTGAGTCCTGAAATCAAAGTCGACGACTACGTGTCACGAGTGTTTGAGGCTCGAGTCGTGATTCTACACCACCAAACGACCGTCACGGTTGGCTACCAGCCGATGGTCAATTGTCGGACTATTCGGCAGACAGCGGAGATCATCTCGATTGAATCGAACCAAGAAGTTATTCGCACTGGAGACCGAGCACTTGTGCGTTTCCGCTTCATCCATTCGCCAGAGTTCTTGAAGAAAGGTATGCGCTTCGTGTTCCGTGACGGTCAAGCGAAAGGAATCGGTAAGGTTGTCCGGGTAGTCCCCGCTCAGCATTGTGAGGACTAAGCAAGAGGTACGATAGGGACGACGCGTATGAACCAATTCATTTTTTTTATTCTGCATGTGAGAAGGAAGAGATTAATTCTCGAGCGGGAGGTTGTTGCTGCTGTTGCTATGGAAGAGTAGATCTAGCATCTCTTCTTCCTCTGCCGTGTACATGTCCTCGAGCGGTGAACGTCGTCCAAGTGTGAGAAACATTTGCTCGATGAGGCAGACATTCGACTGGATGTCGATGGAAACCTCTTCGCCTTTAGCGGTTGCCTCGAGTGTAAAATTCTGTACGATATGCTCTAGCAGTGGAGCAATATAACGCCTCCGCTGCTTTTCATTAAGATGTTTGTCTACGACTGCAGAAGAATACAATGAACGATAGCACCGCATGACACAAATATATCCGACTTACATTCGTGAATCTCTCTCGTGTGCGAGCTGCAGTGATTCTCCACAATCTAAATAATTGCGTAGGAAAACGTAAAAGAATCTTTAAATGAGAGGCACCACCGGCGTACCTGAAGCGTGAGGAATTTCTGCACTTTGTTCAAGACTTCTTCACTTGCAAAGGAGTCATGCTGCGGAAATTGAAACCCCAGGTTAGAGCAAAGATTACGCAGGTATACCATGGTTCAAGCACATTACATTGGCCTGTTTCTTTTCGCTCGCCTTCTTTGTAGGCGACGGGGCTGAAGCTAGCGGCGGAGTTGACTCGGTGGAGGTTGGTGGTGGTGTGGCTTGTACGGAGGACGGAGTGATTGTTTCGTGATGCGGCTCGCGCTCGACGACGTACGTTTCTGTTTCAGTATCGTTGACGTTTATCGCAGGAGCTTCGGCTTCCTTCTCTTCTCTTTCTGCTGATGGAGTATCGCTCGCACCGACAGGCGCCTCGACTGTACCTGCCGGTGTCACCACCTCAGCTCCTTCAGATAAACGACCCGAGCGTGGGGAAACCGGAATCTCGGATGCAACACCTTCTTCACCATTGCTAATGTCGGTACATGCATCGAGAATGGCAACAGGACGATTTTCTTCGGCAAAAGCCAATTCAGGTTCGAGTGTCTTATCGTCTGCTGCAGTGCTCTGTGACTCTGCGTGGTTATTGCCGACAGGATCGGTCGGGTTCCCCTCTGTCAGAGGCACACCATTGACAGGCTCAACAATATCGACACACTGAGTCGGAATTTGAGCAATCTCCATTCCTCGGACCGAACTCCTGGACTAAAGTCGATCTGATCAACTGCAAAATCTCCACCATATAAATACTCGCAACACCTTAGAAATAGTTTTAAAAAGATGTGAATCAAGCCAACGTAGCATACAACTTAACGTTTCATTTTTGACAGTGCCGTCTCCTCAATTAGACAGTAGTGACTACAACTTAGAACCTGTAGCCTCTATCCACAGAGAGAAGTGTGAGTTGCTTTCATCTGCATTTGCAACTTATTTTGTCTTCTTGTCACCGGCATTTGCCTCCATAGCAGCGACCGATTCTTGCAGTGCAGTGAACTCTTCCTTCGCAAACTCCAGGAATTGCTTCGCGTTGACACCGACACATGGGTCCACAAGAACGTTAAGACCGAGATCATCGCCCATTGACAAGATGGCTACTCCAAGGTTCACATATGGCGGTGGAGGCACGAACCCGTAGAAGCCCGACACTGGACTCTTGCATAGACTCACTTCCACGACACTAGCACGCACATTGCTCGTTGCCACAGAGATACGACTGGTAGTAAAGTGTACGATCAAGCGCATAAGCGGCGCTGGCAACATCGACACGAGGTGGGTCGACCAGTACACGAAGAACTTCTCAAGTGAATTCTTGGCATCGTTCATAGCAGCCGTGACTTGGAGCAGACGCTGAGCAGAGTCCTCAACGCCGATGGGCAGGTCAATGACGAGAGAGGAGAAGCGGTTGCTAGTGTGGCGGATCACTTCTGTACTGGAGCGCATGTCCACTGGGATAGCGCAGCGTACCTTGAGTGTTGGAGCCACAGACTCGCCCACAGACAACATGGTCTTCCGCATGGCACCAGCTACGACATTAAGCATCACGTCGTTCACTGTGGCGCGGAAGTGTTTACCTACGGCCTTAGTGGCATTCACAGAGTAGATCATGTTGTACGACAGACGTTTTTGCTTGCCGCCGGGACGTTTAAAGACGGTGGCCGGTTCACGACGAGTCACGAGTGCGAACATGTGATAGGAGATCACGTAGACCGACCAGATGCAGACGTACAGGAAGACCAAAATGTCTTTAATGATCTGAGTCACGGGTTTGCGTGGCTTGGGGGTCTTTGGGCTCTTCTTGGCTTGTAGGCGCTTCTCGACCATGGCGTCGAAGAGCTCACTCTGGTCACTGAGCTTGGCCATGGCTGTAGCCAGCGAAGCACCGTCACCGAGACAATGATGCACTTTCCAGCCGACGCTAGTGTTACCAGGATTGCCCTTGGGGTCGTGGATCACATGCATCTCCCAGAGCGGCTTGTCAAAGTCCAGCGGGGTGTTTACTAACGCCGACTCAACGTACGACATCGTGGTCTCTCCCTCTTCAACTGTGTGCTCCACCACGTTCTGTGCCACGTCGTAGCCAGGAACTTCCACATACTTGTAGACGCCTGTCTTGTAGTCACCACGTACGACGCTGCGCCAGCGTAGGAAGAAGGCGTCGTGTAGTATACGCGCACGTAGGCGCTCGACGTAGTCTTCCTTAGCCAGATGACCTTCGACAGTTAATACAGACACTGGGATGGACAAGTTTGTAGGTGTCTCTGTCACCAACGTCGATAGCCCCATGCTGCTAAGCTTACGCGTGAGCTTACGGCCCTGCAGCGTCTCGTCCTCGCTGGGCTTTTGACGCTGCTGCGAGACGGTGGACACAACGCCAGATAGCGCCAGCACCAGCACCACAGCCATCAGAAGCATGGGAGCGTCGCTCATTGTCGGCCCGTTGGCCGCTAGCCGCGTCAAAAGACTGTTCTCCACGTCCATCTTCGCAGGTCACTGGGGTTTTCAAGAATGGTGTCGAGTCAACCCAGTTGATTTTCAGCTAATGTCACCGAATGGCTGCCTGGATCACCATGGAAACGTCGATGTCGACGCGCCGTCGAGCTGACCAATGATGATTAGTGATTCGGCTTAGGTACGAGGTAAAGCCATGCGACATGACACTTTGACATCATCTTTGGTGGCGCGGGTACAGGTGGCCCGTCCTGCACTCCAAGGCCGACAGTGAGCTTGACACGGCCGCTGTCACGACGGTGACTCAGCGGCCCGGCCCGACCGATCTATGCCCGGCTACCTTCAGTTGATGTGACAGTCGTGTATTGCTGGCTGTCGGCGCTCGCACGGCCGCCTCCAATGGAGGCAGCAATGCATGGGTCCCTTGCGTATGCTGAGGTGCTTGGGCGACTGTCGCCACCAGTCACTGGTCCAGTGCGATGGGCGCTGTTTCTGAAGGAGGGTGTTCAGTGGAGCCTGACGCTGGTGTCGTCAGTGGGATCGATGATACTATTGGTACCACCAAGTCTGGGCTCCACAGTGGAACCCTGCGAGTCACTGAGTGGCTGGAGCCCAGTGGCACTGCCACTGGCAGTGGAGGGAAGGCACTGGTTCGCCAAGAACAGATTGACGTGGCAGGTTTCAAGATTCTTGAATTGAGATGGACGTTGTTATGATGCTAGAAATCACGATCGAAAGTTGTGTTAAAGCAGACTCTACATTGTAGAGGCACTTTCCTCACGAAAACGCTGAGGCCTACACAAGAGAGTGTAGTGCGCTATTTCACGGCTGTTTAATTTTTTTTTATGAAGAAAGCAATTTGGCTGACTCGTTTCATAAATTCAAGGTCACTCGATTGACCCATTTTTAAAGGCTCTTTCTTTCAGTAGCACCTGTGGCCATAAGCAGTGAAAATCGAAAGGCTCAGAGGCTACACCTTCAGCAAGAAATAGCGGTCATTTCACAATGTTGGGGTAAATGGAAAAGTACCGACTGTCTCAAAAGAAAATAGCGCATGCTCAGCAAAACTATGCCGTCAAAGGTAAACTCCGTGCGTCTTTTTTTTTTAGGAGTTTACCGGAAATTTTTTATTTTTTTATTTTTAAGAAATCTAGAGCTATTCGAATAGTGGTCCATTACAATTTTTAGACATCCCCGTACCAATCACCGTATCAAAACCGGTTTGATTTATCCTACGATCATTTCCCCCGTCAAAACCGTTTGGCACCCCCGCTGCACACGTGGAAGTCAAAGCGTCGGGCATCGGACGTTCCTCCTGCCGCTTAAGATGCAGCAGCCCAACTACCCGCCGCGTGGTTATGGCGGCCAGGCTCCGCCCCAGCAGCAGCAGGCGCCTCGCAGTGGCGGCGGATACGCGCCTCCTAATGCTGGTACGCACCCTAAATTCCTGTCGCCGTGGCCATTTTCACCGCTAACATTACATTATTACGTCAGCAGGATACGGCAACATGCAGTACGACCAGCAGCAGCCCATGTCACAGCCCACGGGTAGTTCCATCATGTAGTATTTGATATCCTGCATCAATAATTAACTTCAGCATGTTGTCGTGAACAGGAAGTTTACCTGCCCGCGGCTTCCCAGGTGTTCAGCAGCCTCAAGCTCCCCACTCAGGTATTGGAGGTCGTCCAGGTTTCCCTGGCCACGTGCAGCAGGTGCCAACCCCAGGTTCTCAAGGCTCCTTCCGGCCTGGCCAACAATTTGGCGGCCCGCCTGCTCCAGGCTCTCAAGGTTCATTCCGACCTGGCCAGCAGCCTGGCCCGCCTGGCCCTCCAGGTCCGCCGTCCGATGGAGCAAACAGTGGCGTACCACAGGTGAACCGCGGGCCACCTGGTGTTGCAGGACACAGTGCTTACCCAGGCCAGGGCCCACCCGCTCCCGGATCGTTCCAGAATGCGCCACCTGCAGCAGGACCAGGCTCGTTCCAGTCAGGGCCACCTGGCCCGCAAGGGCCACCGAGACAGCAGTTCCAGCAGGGTCCTCCTGGACCAGGACAGCAGTTCAACAACGCTTTACCTCAACACGGTGGCCGGCCGGGCCCCCGTCCTCCACAGCTTGGTGGCCAGATGCAAGGCCCGCCGCCGCCACAGTTTAATGGACAGCAGGGACCTCCTCAGGGAGGAGCTGCGCCATATCTTCAGCCTAATCGTAATGCAGGACCGTACCCAGGACCCCCCGGGCCGGGTGGTGCTGCGCCTTACGGTGCACCTGGTGCACCTGGCGCTCCAGGTGCGTATGGCCAGCCGCAACAAGGAGGATATCCTCAACAGCAGCAGCCACAGGCGACTCAAGCTCCGAAGCAGCGTATTGACCCGACCCAGATCCCTCGTCCTGTTGTCTCGGCCGAGCGTGTGCAGTATGTAGCTCGTGGCCACACCGTAACCATGCCTCCCGCTGCGTCGAGTGACTATGTGTGTGTGGACGAAGGCTGTTGCAACCCGCGCTTCATCCGACCGACGCTGAACCATGTTCCTGCCAACAAAGATTTGCTGAAACAATGTGGCCTACCGCTGGCCGCAGTTATCTGTCCACTTGCAGACCTGCAAGAAGACGAGCTGCCAATTCCACTGGTAGACTTTGGCCCTAGTGGCCCGTTGAGATGCACACGCTGCGCTGCTTACGTGAACTCCTTTACTAAGTTTATACAGGGTGGACGCAAGTTCGTATGCAACATTTGTCAGCTGAACAACGAGACACCGAGAGACTATTACTGCAGTGTGGACCAGTACGGCAAGCGTCGTGATATCCAGGAGCGTGCAGAGCTGTCGCGTGGCTCGGTGGAGTATGTTGTGCCTGCAGCCTACACGATCCGCCCGCCGCAAGAGCCCATTCTTGTCTTTGTGCTCGACGTGTCTCTCTTTTCCTTCCAGACTGGGCTCGCTACTAGTGCCTTGCAGTCGATTCAGTATCTGCTGCCGTCGATGGCTCAGAACAAGCGCAAGAAGATTGGTATTGTGACGTTCGACACGGCCGTGCACTACTATCGTATGGACAACGGCTCGTCGTCTATCTCGATGAGCATTTGTCCCGATATTGATGATCCCGTGGCTCCACTACCTCCTAGTAGCTGGCTGGTCTCCATGGAGGACCCAGCTGCGTCAGAAAAGATCACAGAGCTATCGGAAGTCATCACGCGCTCGTTTGAGAACACTACAAAGAACCAAGCTGTGTCAGGTGCTGCGTTATGGAGTGTGGCTGACGCTCTGGCCGTGTCAGGAGGACGTGTGGTGTTGCTTCACGCTGGAGCTCCTCGTATGGGCATTGGCAGAGTGAAACGCGAAGAAGTTAGCGGCGCATACGGCACTACGAAGGAAGTGGATCTGTACACCCCCGAGGACAACAACGCGTACGAGATTCTGGCTCGACAGTGCGCTGAGCATCATATTTCTCTGGATGTGTTCTCAGTTGCCAACACATTTGCATCTTTGGCCGATGTGGGTCGTGTGTGTGAGATGACAGGTGGTCGTGTGCAGTACATGCCTCAGTTCGAGAAGGAGCAGTCAAGTAATCGTCATCATCTTACCAGTATGCTGCAGCGACTTGTGGATCGTGACTGTGGCTATGAAGCTGTGCTCAAGGTGCGCTGTAGTGCCGGATTGCGTGTGGAGCACTCGTACGGCAACTTTTTCAACGCGCGTGGCAACGCCTTTACGACAGATGAGATGGAGTTTGCGGTGATCGACCAGGACCGTTCGATGTGCGTCACGTTCGCATACGACGAGCCTCTTGCTGAGAGCACCGACGCATACATCCAAGCAGCTCTACTGTACACGCGTAGCGATGGTTTGCGTTGTGTGCGCGTACACAACTTGGCGCTGCAAGTGGAGCCGTTGCTGTCGAATGTGTTCCGGTTCGCCGATCTGGACGCCACGTGTTCTGTGTGGCAACGTTCGGCAGCGCGGCAGTTCGTGGACAAGCAGCTCATGCGTGCGACGCCTATGGCTGTCAAGGAGTCGCTGGTTGATCAGTGTGTGACTGTGTTGTTCAACTACCGCAAGTTCTGCGCTTCATCTTCATCCTCGGGCCAACTTATCCTACCGGAATCTCTCAAGTTGCTGCCTCTATACACACTGGCAACGCTCAAGAGTCGTGCGTTGCGTGGGAACCTTGTGGGCAACCCACCGCGTGGATTTATCGATGTGCGTGCAGACGAGCGAGTTTTGATGATGGGACTGCTTAACAGTCTACCGGTAGAGTTCTGCGTATCAGCCGTCTACCCGAAGCTGTACAGTGTCCACGACCTGGCAGATGACTGCTGCACATTGGACGAAGATGGCAAGTTCATTCTGCCTCCGCAACTCCCGCCGACTGCTGAGAAACTGGACGAAGAAGGCATTTTCCTCTTGCACTCGGCCATGTGCTGCTACATTTACATTGGCCCCAAGGCTTCGCCCGAGTTGCTGCTTGACCTCTTTGGTGTGGACCATGCTGACACAGCCGAGCAGACTCTCACCTTGTTTGAGACACTGGATACTGAGCCGCCCGAGGGCGACGGGATGAGTGCTCGTGAGCGACTGCGCTCGCTGGTGGAGTACGTGAACTCGACGATTCCCATCTCGCAGCCGCTGGAGATCCTGACCAAGAACGACTGGCGTGCCAACCGCTTCATGAGTGCTCTTGTAGAGGATCGCACACGCAACGACGTGTCGTACGTTGAGTTTTTGGTCCAGGTGCACAAGAAGATTCAGTACAAGTTCCACTAGACCCACACACAAGACAGAGGTAAGAGGGTGATGGAGGCGACATCAAGAACAAAGAACTCGTGCGGTGTCTTGCTTGCTCGTCATCAATACAGTGCGTTTTTGTCAGCATTAGAGACTCACCTTGTTCATTTGAACAGTAAAAAAACTAGAAACAAACCTCTGCAGCGATTAAATCCACGGCGTCCATCCTTCGTACATGACGCAGAGGTTGTCTGTCTTGGTGGCTTCGTCAATAAGCCACGACGCTTGTTGCTCCACTGTAAGGACTAGTGGGGCGTCGGCCATGTCAGTAACTGTACCTGACAATTTCTCTTCGATGCGCTTGAGAACTTGCAGACCATACTGACTCTTCTCCTCAACATTTCGTAGAGTACTCGCACCAGTGCCATGCGAGCAGTTGTCACTGCTGACGTCCATTACTACGCTGTTCCCTGACCCCAGCGCGACAGAATCATCTGTAGTGTCGGTTTGTTCTTCGACGTCAACTTCATCAGGCATGGAGACGACTCCGCTCGCTCGACGACTCGCTTCTACCGTGTTACTTGACAGACGATCAGCCATTTCAGTGGCTTCGAAGAACTGCTTCACGCATCCTCGTACAAGATCTCGGGCCTTAATAAGAAGCATGGGCGTGTCTTCGGCCAGTGGAGACTCATCTTTGACTACTCGCAGTGCCTCGATCAAGTCAAGTAGTAGCTGTAGCAACAGGTAAACTCGTGAAGACTCGTGCACGTCGACACCTTGGTTGTTGCCAGTTAAGAGCTGGTCGGCTTGAGTGTCAAAGTCACGCAGCGCACGGTCGAGTTGAACGACTGCACCACGAAGAGAAGCACACAAGTCTCCGTGCTTTTCAAGCACGCCTTCCAGTTGCTGTAGATGATTGACGTACCGGATACTACGAAGAAGAATCTGAACAAGACGATCGTTCTCCATGAAGGAAAACCCTGCCATCACATTCGAAGCAGGGCGCTCGGGCGACAATGAATCACGGGCCCTAATAGTTCCAGCAGCCACTTGACTTTGCTTCGATGGCGTCTTGGCCTTGTCAAAGCCCATAAGTAGTAGCCGCATCTCCTTGATGCTCTTACTCAGCACGCGTGTAATCTTCAATACTGCGTCCATGTTGCCATTACAAAAGGAATGGAACTCCGTCTCGACAGCGCGTTTTCTCGAAGCAAGCGCGTCGTACATCGTCTTTTTTTGCTTCAAATTGCCTTGGAGTTCTTGTACGTGAGTCGTCATCTTTTTCACTTCTTCATGCATCGATCGCATCTCTAACGTAGCGGTGGATGCAGACTGAAGGATATTTGTACCGACAACATCCACTTCGAGCTGGATCTTCTCTGTGTCGGGCATACTCGACGTCTCGATGACACTGATACCTTGTACAAGATCCGCCAGAGTCCGTCCATAGTCGAACAGACCCGCCACGTTATCGTAACAACTCTGCACGCAGGCATGCAAGCTTTCGTCACTAGCATCACCCATGTTTGAGGCGAGATAACCCAGTTGCTGGGCCAGCTCCAAGACGCTCGCTTCGACAGTAACTTGATCAGTCAGCAGTGCATTCAGCTGCGGCACTTGGGATGATAGGAACGCAAGCAGTTGCGTTCGAGAAAGACTAGCAGCATCGCCTTGTGCTGGCATTGTCGTCGACAACCACGCGGCATATCGAAGACGCCCTGTATGTCGAATCCTGATAGACGAAACGCGCTGAGTCCAGGCATGCGCTTGAGATTTACTCCACTGATACGTCCACCACTCTTCACATACACTCATCAGTTCTACAACTGACTTGGTAACATCGTTCGTTTGCGTTTCGGGGGTAGCAGTCGATAAATTAGCCAGTGTAGACGGTAAAATGTCTGGAATCTGCGAGCAGAAATAATCTGCCCATCGTGTCTGCAGCTTGGAAGTTGATTCGTCAAGCGCACAAAAATCAAACTTCCACTCGGACGAGATAACACTGGCAAGCTGGTACCGCAGCAGCTTTACCAAGCAGTTAGAAACGAAACCATCCACGTGAGACGACCAAATCGTGCGTACTTTCTCCACCTTGTCCTCGTCTGTTCCAGTATACAGCTCAGCGATGATCAGTACTAATTCAATCCAACTGGCACTGGATGAACTTTTAATACGTTCGACTTCTTCGCCAGACAACACGGATAACTGGTACAAACTATCAACCAGCGATGAAATCTTCTGTGTGACGGCAAAGCCAGCAGTCAACAAGCTGCGGACTGCTGGGAATTTCGCCAGCATCACTTCTATCGATGAGTGTGTATCTTTGACTGCACTGGTTGACGCCAATACCATACCCAACACTTTCCTTCCATCCGGTGTAGTCCTCATCACCTTGACTCGCTCCAGTAAGCCTCCACACTCATCCATTTGTCGTCCATAAACGTTAGATACAAACTCTTCCTGTAGCACGACAGCAAACGATCCCACTTCTTGTAAAATCTCGTTGAATCCATCCATACTCTTGTCGCGTTGCGACGCCAGAAGTTCGCTAGCTCGAAGCCTCTTCATTGATCCTTTAGGCGTTGACACCAAATCCAACAGCGTCGAGCACGCTTGCGTCACAGCCACCACAACTCCGAATCTTGCTGGTGCTTTCAGTGCAGGCGTGAAAATATACTCGGCATTCGAGACGCAGCTCTCATCATTCAGTTGTTCCATCACTTCAATGATCCAAGACGCACCAGCGAGTTTCATAAGGCGTTGGCCTTGAGCGTTGGACAACTTCATCGCAGAAAGAGCATTCGACACGTCCTCCAGTAGCTGGTCAGCTTGAGAAATACACGATGTCTCCTTCTCCTCATTAGACTGAGCGTTGAGATATAGTGGTAAGTCACTAAGACGGTTCAGAACCATGGTCGACTCAGCAACGTTCTCTTTGGAAGGAGCACTACACGTCACAATGGTGTTAGCAGTTCCTTTATTCTGCTCGCCGGCCAGTCCACGCAGATATTCACTACAAACACTCCACCACTTGAAGTACACGTCCTTGCCAGCAACCTTCACCTCTGATTCCAAATACGCATCCAATTCCTTGCGCTGGTAGCCATAATACGAAAGATACGGGACCAAATAAGTGGCGATTTTCTCGATCTCAAAGCGCAGACGTGCCACATCCGCATCAACTGATCGGCAATTCGACTCCAACGCATCCAAAAGCTGTCTCTGCCGACCAACAGACCGTAATTTCTCCATAACACTGCATAGCGTTTCATGGACTGTCTGAAAAGACAAAGTATCGACTGCAGTAGTTACCGCGCTCAGTTGAGTCACAGGATCAGATTCAGCGAAGGCGACACTCTTCTGTCTCCAAACTTCGATCTGCTGGTGTCTTGCTAAGCATTCATCCGCGAAGGAGCTTACTTTTGTCGTAATGTCGTTAAAACGAGTCGTAGTGGACTCAAGTTCTGCGCGTTTGATCTGCTCGGCACTCTGATGCTTGGATAACTCTGCCTCAACGCTGGCAACTTCCCTCAATCGTGTTTGCTCTTCGACCTCAAGCGACAACAACTGCTTGCGTTGTTCAAGCAAAGTCTCAAAGGGGACTTGCGATCCATTGAGAGCTCTGGAAATAACATCAGCATGTTGCTCGTACTGACGGCCAAAAGAAATCGTATCTTGTCGTCGTTCCTCCGCTCTCGACAAGAACAAAGAGAGATTCACATTTACTTCGAGTCGCGCCTTCAAATCTCCTGACCTTCCTTGTCTTCTGTCTTCAGCGATCCAGTCAACCAATGGACCATACACGAACGCTTCAAACAGCGTCAACAACGCTTCACGAACATTATCCGAGCGTACTATACGTAACGTTGTCTCAAATGCCATTCGGAATCTTCCCTCCACTCCTGTAAATCCAAGTGCGTCTTGCAGCATAGGCGTCAGTCGGAATGGCACAATCTCTGGCACCTTGAGTCTACGTCCCTTATCAAAGCAAACGTTGTGGTCGATGTGAACGATGTCTCCACTGTTGACACACAGCAAAATGTTGTCCAAGTGCCGATCCCCTAATCCAACGATGTACCCGAGCACAGACATGACCGCAAGAGACTTGCTTAAGCGCGTGCTTTTAATCCAGCTCTCTCGTAAGTCTTCACTTCGAAGAAGTATTTTCTGTTGCAACACATTGCGTGGGCGCTGAGCCACCAGCTCCTGGTAGACTTGTCTCAATACGTTAGGCGGCCACAGCGAGCGGTTATTTGGCGCCACATTCGTAATGCCATGCTGCTTCAACTTGGCGTAAAACTGAGCTGTAGGCGGGGGCGGTTGCTGTGCTGAAGACGCAGCGACAGGATCTTGAGGCGTTCTTCCACTCGCGTCGTTTCTAGCAGTATACACTTGAAAGAGAGGCACCACATCAGGGACCATCTGGATCAATCCAGCGTTTCTTGAGAGAGGTATGACACTGTAGCTCTGAGCTGACAGATCCCGAGCTGCAGCTGCGTCATCAGCTTGTAAGAACTGGTTCGTCACGCGTAAATACTGCATGATGCGCTCATCCAATCGCAAGTCTTCACGGGCTTTTAGCAGATACTTGTATGTCTTGCCATCCGATCCAATCAACTTCAAGGACTTCGGCTTGGTTTTCGTTCGCAAAACAGTCACGGATGCATCCACACGATGAATAGTGATAGGTTCCACTTGACCTGCAGTCTTCCCAACAACCGCGCCAGGCATATTAGTTAGCGCTAGCTGACGAGAGGTAGAGGCCATCGCCGGCGAAATGTCATGAAGCGGCAGTTGCTCTCGACGTCCCGTGGCGTTCATAAGCGCCTTCAATATCTCTGCGAATGGCTGCCAGAGCTCTTCGGGATTCTTTACTGATCCAGCGTTGCCCCAAGACTCCGAAGCGCAGCAATGGCGGAAGTTCTCCATCGCCTTGTCGATCACTCCTCCGAAGTCCTTGAGAAATTTTCGCTCGTGTGGGGTCACAGTATGTTGTTCACGAATGCCCCCGCACGTTTCCTTCCATAGTCGTTCGATCGAGACATAGATCGGCTTCATAATCGCCACCAACTTGCGCTGTGCTAACTCGCTCTTCTCTTTCGCAGACAACGACGCATTCTTCTCCACGCGATTGGCTTCTTTTTCCAGAGTACTCGTCCTTCGAGACACATCCGCTGATAGTTTGACGAGTGTACTGATCCAAGCTTCGTCCCACAGAATAGAAATCCGACGAAGCTCGAAAATGAGTAGACGTACGCCCTCCACTTGTCCAGCCGATACGTTCTGTAGCTCTTGTAAGACCGTAGCAAACGTGTTACTTGCAGTGCCTCGTTCTTCCTGAGGACTTGAAAACGTGGCGTGAGGCTCCATCGAGTCCACGACGACTGGGTACACTATCGAGTGCGGCGAGTGATGTGCTAAGCGCTTGAGAATCAGGCAAACCAAGGAAGAGACAGCAGAAATCGGATGGTGCGCACGAGCGATCAACTGCGGGATCACGTGAGACCACGGATCCACAGGCCCGTCGGAAAACACATCTTCAAGCGCTGCCACCACTTCCCTTTCTGCTCCATACGTCGTCAGAAGACCAAGCAAACGAAGCACAACCATGGTGATTTCTTGTCTCGAGATACTGCAGCCCGAGTCGCTGAACAGCACTGACAAGTATTTCCCATAACCACGAGCAGCCAGCGTGTGAAATCGGAGAGCCTTGGAGTGGCATGCTTGTTGTAACTCGGTCAAACGATCAACAGCATCACGACTATGATCTTGGGGAGCAAGCTCAGTGCACAACTGCTGGAGAGTACCATGTCGTTGGCTGAACAGCTCGTCGTTGTCCAGGAAATGGCAAAACGCACGAATAACGGAATCATGATCCGATTCGACGATCCCAATCTCATCCAGAAGAGTTGATATCTGTGCTTCATCTTCGGAATCTAAGTGAATGTATCCATTTTGTTCGGAAATCTGTTCCACTTCCCGTTTTCCTCGTTCATAACACCAGTGACTGTAGTGAGCCCAGGCCTTTGGGGATTTTGGCGATACCGCGATTGCAGCTTGGAAGCATTTGTGCGCAGATTCACTTTGAAAATTGTTTGGAAAAGCAGCAGCATCCACTTCTTCGCTATCCACGCTTGTAGCAGGATCCGATGCACTTTCAAGGATTCGTGACGCTACTGGTGACAGCAATTTAGTGTTCTCAGCATCGGTAATCGATTTGGCGAGGTGCAAAATAGATCGAACAGCTACATTTTCCTGTCCAGAAAATGAATGATCCAATCGAAGTACTTCCAAGCTCGTTTCGCACTGTGCTTCCAAGAGCTGTCGTCCTTCATCATCCATACCAACCAATTCCAGAAGCTTAGCTTTCTCGTAATTTAAGGCCATAGCTGAAACACGGCTTGTTTTCTCTAGGCTCGCAGCTTCTCTCAAAAGGCTTTGAGCGAAATCGAGATTGTGCTGCCTCCGGGCCAATCTGGCTACTCCAGTGAGGTGCAAGCACTCTGCATCGGCATTCCAACCTGAGCAACCCAAGTGTAGTGAAGAAAACGGTTGGCCCCAAGTTCCGCAGTCATATAGTTCAGGATTCAGTCTTTGGAGGTTCGTTAGTGCCTCGTTATGACAGAATCCAGTCGACAAAGACGATTTCTTCGCCGCTTCAGCCATTCGGAGTAAGGTTTCCTCAGCTCTTTTGCCAACTTTTTCACCCGCGTAGCCATGCCACGGCGCTGGTTGTAACGCCAACGGTACCAAATCGCGCCAAAGTTTATCAGCAACACTATTTGACAGCGATTCAGCGCTTCGCTGTCCAGTGTTTGCTTCGCTAACAACGTCCCAAACACGAAGCGCCTGTGCCACTCGTGTCGCACGACTATCCTTCACATCATTAGAGCGATCTGTCGAAGCCTCCAGGTTGGATATCGTTCCAATCTCGCTGCTCCACGCATCGCTGCAGTCAAAAATCGACTGGATCTCTTCTATCGGGTAATCATAATCCATGAGAGAATTCGCGACGCTAACGAACTGAGTAACGAGCTGTCGCAGCTTCGTCCACTGGCGTAAAGCAGCATAGCATTTCGCATGTTGTTTAAAGCATCCCAGCAGAGCTGACGGCGAGATACGGAGATTCGTCATTGGAGATTCAAATAGCTTCGCTGGACTGACGGCTTCAAAACCCTCGCGTGTCAGCACTGGTTCCAACAAAGACTCATATTCCGCAGCAGCCTCTTCGTATCGCATTTCAGCCTCATATCGCAGCGCGCTTAGCCACCTAAACAATGGCAATTTGCAGTATTCTTCACCAGTTTCCACGCGACCTTTGTTCTGCTGGTACAGCCTGATCAGCGCCGAAGCAACAGATTCGCTCCATCGCTGAATTCCGATAATGGAATCTGCATCTTTTGCATCGCAATGACATCGGCACAGCATGAACAGCGCGGCATCCAGCTCTTTCTCCGCTTGCCTCAACTCGGTGACAATTTTGTCGGAGGGTCCATGAGCTGCAAAAGATGACATGGCTCTGCTGAGCCTACTGTAACAAATCGTCATCGCAGCGTGACTGTGATAGCGCCACAGCTCGTAGTTTGGTGCATTTTTCGCCATCTCTACCAGGAACGGCCGAATCCGGTTGAGCCAGTCGTCACACACCACCTTGTTCGTACGAAAAAAGACCACTGCTTTATACTCTTCACTCTCCGGGTTGCTCTGGTCCATGTCAGTGGTGCAAATAGCGCTGGTAATACACATCTCTAATGCATTTACGAACTCCAGCATCAACCAGTTCGGCAACTGCTTGCCATTTAAAGCTAAAGGGAGCTCGGTATGATTTCGCTGTTGGATCTCATCCGCATACTCCTGTAACAGTCGCTCGATACTCGCAAAGCTTTGCGCTGGTCCTCCAAAATGGGTACGCAGTCTGTTCTGGACGCACCATGCTGCTGCTTGGCGGATCGCACCCAATAGAATGCCCGAATTATTAATTGCCACGTGAGGAGAAGTGCGGTTCATGATACTTCTGCAGACGCGATTCCACTCGCTTTCATCACACTCTCGAGACTGAAAACGACTAAGAATATTCGCAAAGTCCGCGCCGACAAAAGAAGGGTGCAAAGGCCGCGAGATGTGGCCATACGTACGCAGTTTTTCTTGCTTCAGAAGCGCAGCAAGAGCCACTTCGTTCAGAGCACCAGACATAATTCTGCGCTTTACAATGGGACTGGGGTCTAACAAGAGATCTAGTAACACGTCAAACGTTTCGCCAGCAAATTCACACGCTTCCATTCGAGCTTGAAATACCTCTAGGACTTGAATACAGCTCTCTCGCACTTTCACACTGGAGCTTCGGACAACCTGCGTCACTTTTATCAAAAGCCCTCGGCAACTTTCCCGCGGAATAACGGGAAGCAGTGTCGTCCGAGACAATAAAGCATGCACCACATGCAGCGTTTCAACGCTGAGTCGATGATCTCGAGCCACCACAGTCTCACTTGGTAGCATACCGAGCGCCAACTGCAACATTCGCAGTGACACCCCATTTAAAGTCTCCAAAGCATCACTTCGATCAATAATCCACTTGGAAACAGCACCAATAAATGCGCAGGCCATCTTCAGCACAAGACACAACTGTCGAGGACTCACTTTAAGCTGACGATGACGCTGATTCTGCTTTTCCAGCTTCGTCGAGATCAAATCCAGAATCGCAATTACGTGCGTCGTATCGTCATCAAGAAGCTTCAGTCTTTCAGGATTCCGGGACACTAGAATGAAACATGTAGCTGCAAACACAAAATAACTGTTTCCCTTTTCACCATTTCGGCCACTCAATCGCTGCAGTGCTCGCGCCCCGAATACCTGGTTCAACGTGTACGAACGATTTATCAGCAAGAATGAAAGAGCACTGCACTCAGCCCTCCAAACGAACCTTCAGAGCTTCAATTCCGCCCAGTTGGATCAGGTGCAGACACAACTGGGTAGAATATGTAACTGCGTTAGCGCACTTCAATTGAAACAGACATTCCATGACCTTCACACGCTTCGGCTGGCCACCTTTCTTGACGATTCGGGAAGGAATATCGTCATCCAGTACGCCGATCACAGCAGCACGTTCAAGTAGCGGGTCAGCAATTCTGGAAAAGTTCGTACTTGCTAGCTTGCAAGCATTTTCCAGCACTGTCGAGAGCTTGGTGACCTCACAGTCGTGTAAACGAGACTGTACAGCGCAGTGATGAAGTAAAAACCCTACTATAGCAGCCGAGAAAGGAGCAAAGCTATTGTGTCTTGCGTTGGAAATCGACACCAGATAGTCTGAACAATTTGCCACGCAGAAAATACTAATGATATTCGCGTAAGTTTCTCGTCTGGCACGAATTACACGACAATATTTCACTTACGAGTATTCTGGCTGTGAACACGAAGCAACGCGACGAAGCACCCTCTCGAAAGGGCTTTGAAGGCCTTCACCCCCAGATAAAGCTGCAATAAAAAAGAACGTAGATACCAATAAGCAATTCATACTAATACAAAACTTTAGAGAAAAAATCAAGCTTTTCGTACCGAGATCAGGGACACATTGCGCTACCATCATGAAGCAAGTCACTAAAGTACTAAGACGATCGTCGTCACCCTCTTGATGGTCACTCCATGAATCACACAAGTTTACAATTTCCTGTACCAAGCGAGCCAGTAAGTCAGTTAATATTCAATATAATATTTGAGAAAAGTGTACTTACATCAGCGAATGAGTTCATCAACTGAAGGCTGAACACGCTGTTGTCTGCCCACAAGCGACCAAAATTGTCCAACAGCGTAAGAATTTCCTCCCTATTTTTTTTCCAATTCAATTTTCAGTAGCAAAACTTTTACTTCAGTAAATACTCTTCCAGCGTCACACCCGACACCTTCACGTACCGCAGCGGACTATGCGGTCCCGTGCTCATCATCCACCCAATTAAAACATCCGCAATATCCACAAAATGCGCCTGTAGTTTCTTTAACATCAACGTGCGCCATTGATCTGTACCAGTCTGCAAAGGCAGAGCCTGCAAGCACTTGACCAGCTGATCCACAAGAGCCACCTCGGCGGTATGGTCCAGCAATGTTCTCCACATCTGCATCACTCGAGCAAAGACCATATCAAACTGCTTAAACTCAGCTGACGAGTCCTCCCACTTCTCACCATCTTCCTCTCTTGGCACAATTTTCTCGGTCTGTAGCAGTAGCGCATAGCTCCATTGCACAAGCCATGGCTCATTGCCCAGCTGTGCATTCCTAGCGATCCAGTCGCCGAATCCTGTCGGGTTGTGAGCTGACAGTATCTGTAGCATGGCTAACACGCTTGTCTGTAGCTCCTGGCCGCCCTTAATTGGCGTAACCATCACGTCTGTCAGCAGAGGCAGGTATGGCTCATAGGACAGCAGTAAGCCAGGAGTGGGAGATAGGAGGCGGAAGTATTCCTCCAACTGCTGTGCCGCCTTGATGCGCTGCTTGACGCTCATGACGTCAGCCGAGAGCAACGTCTGCAGCGCCACGAGTGGGTTGAAGGGCGTCGCAGTCGCGTCCGCTGGAGCGTCGCTATTGGCCCTCATTGTATCTGCCTGTCTGTGCCTGGTTCTCTTCTGTCTGGGGAGTACGTCAAGGCTTCTCGTTCATCGTCTGACACCGAGTGCGGAATGCGGGGGGCGCCGGTGTTAATGCGCGAATGGTTATGGTGAGTGCGGTGCGGTTGGGTACACCTTTTCCACCAATCGAACAAGACTTTTGGAAATATTTTCAGCCAATAAGAAAAATGACTGGAGCTGAAGACAGCTTCAACTCTACACTGGTATTCATTAGCGTATCTCCTACCATCCAATGCCGCTTCCGGGATAAAATTCCGCGCGTGCGATGTCGAGGTAGTGCTCAGAGATCCAGGCATTCGACTCTTCTTCTTCCATGATCTCTACCTCCTTTGCGAGGCCTTGCTGTGCGATGTTGTGCAGGATTAACAGAGTTTCAAACTGCGAGTGCCGCTCTGCATTCTCCATAGCTCTGTCAGTGAAGCCTTCCTTGCGGTTCTCAAACAGCCACCGAAGCACTCGCAGATGGCCTCCATGAGCCGCGCCGTCCATTGCCAGCGTTGTACACCCCTCGGGTCGATTTTTACGGAGCCACTTCACAATTCCCAACTTGCCATAGGCGGCGGCACCGTCCAACGCGGCAGTTGAACAGCGCGCCCGCTTACCATCCAACCACTTCAAGACCTCCAAATGCCCCCCACTAGCTGCATTGTCCATAGCTGCACGACTGTAGCCCTCAGTTCGGTTCTGGTGTAGCCACTTCGCAACGTCCAAATGACCCCCACTCGCAGCACCATCTATTGCTTCGAATGTACATCCTTCTGACCGGTGAGTATGTAGCCACTTGACTGTATCCAGATGTCCATTGGTCGCTGCGAGATCCATCGCAGCCTTCGTACAGCCCTCTGTGCGATTTGCATGAAGCCAGCGAACAACATCTAAGTGGCCGTGAGCAGCTGCAACGTCCATCGCTACATCAGTGCATCTCAGCTTGGCTGATGGGCTAAAGGAGCCACGAAGGACATTGTCTCGGCTCTCATGGACGCGCTGTCGCTTGTGTTTACGGGTATCTTCCTCCTCGTGTCCGATCTGAAGCAAATATTGAACGATCTCCAAGTGGCCTTTACCTGCTGCTGCATCGACCACGCTGCAATAGGACTCAGTATCCTCGTTCATGTATTCATGATCAGTGTCACTGTATCCATATTCATCGACGTGTCCACGAACCCAGAAGAGATTAATTTTTGGATCGCTGTGGTACTCAGAGTACAGCCACTTCACCACATTAAGGAATCCTCGCTCTGCAGCAAACATCATTGTTCTTCCTGAGACGCTTTCAACACTAGAGCTCCCTCTCAGTCGCTCGGATAGAGCTTTAATTCTTTTGTTCAGTCGCCAATTCTCTTTTGTTTTCTCTCGGTCATTGCGTGGCTTGTCAGTTTGAGCACGCAGATATTTAGCAACTTCCAGGTGTCCGTTAATCGCAGCAGCATGTATAGCTAGAGTTGCTTCTCCTCCGAGGCAAGTAAGATATGTCCGACGCGTCCTATCGCCATAGCTGTAGTCAAAATTGTACTCTTCCGGACCGCTTTGGTCCCCAAGCTCGCTATCATTCCGATCACGGTCAACGATCCATCGAACGGCGTTCCATTGCCCTGCTTCCGCCGCTTTAAACAGTGTTCCAGCATCCCACGACGTGTATTCTCCACGTTCTTGAAACCACTGCAGCGGCTCGACATGGCCGTTAGCGGCAGCACCATGGAGAGCGTCGTGTCCTTCGGGACTCATGTCGAGCTTATCCATCAGCCAGTTGGCCAGCTCCATGTCTCCTGCAATAAAAGCCGCATCGATAGCGCAGAAGTCGTTTCTGTTTTCACAGGTCTGAGCGTAAGTCTCGTACATCCACTTGACGACGTCGGCATGTCCGGCAATTGCAGCTTTGGCAGCATCGAGTCCTCCCCAGCAAACCCAGCGCCCTTTCTCCCAGTTTTCCTTTTCTTCGTTCCATTCCCCGTCCTCTTCCTGCTCTTCCTCTTCATTACTTATTGCGGTTCCATTAGCTCGGAAATATTGCAGAATCTCTAGCGCTCCTGCTGACGCCGCTTCGTAAATTACTTTCCGCCTCACACCGTAGTCTGGAAAGTGGTTGAATAGCCATCGAACGACCTCTACGTTATTAATTTTCACTGCTACCAGCAGACACAATGTGAATTGCAGCTTGCCATACACTTTGTATGTCCGCAGCAGCTTCCTGACGGACCAGAGCCCCCACCCTCCGGGTTCCAAGTCAACGGTAGTGCTCCAGATGCGGTCCAACAGCGTCACGGACCCGAAATTACACGCCTTATTGAGAGGCAGCTCGACGGATGAGTCAGCGTAGGCCGATACGGCCCTGATCACATGGTCGATCCCAGCAAAACGTGGCTTGGCGCGGAATAGCAGCGTTACCGCCAGCAACGGCGTCGGCGACACAGACACCATCGAAATATGACAAGGATGGTGAAAGAAGTGGTACAATGTTCCCATTTTAGTTGCCTTCAGCAAAATTTACAGATTTAACTGGATACAAAGCGAATGCCACTTGTAAGCTCCGTCAAGAAGAGTGTCCATGCTGAAACACCTCGGATAATGTTCTATTTCTTCAAAGTACGAGATGAACCACCGATCTACGAATTACACTCCCCACACGTATTGAGGAATGTTGCTCAGCATCTACTTCGTCAGTTTCAGGCTCTTCATAAAACGTTTGAGATCTGATGCGCACTGTGCCAGTATTCCATTCTTGAGCACAAGACGATTTGGTCCTTGAATCGCTTTGTCTATTTGCCCAACTGTCTTGATTCCGATTTTGCAAGGAGCTCCCGTCTTCGCATCACCATTATTATCAACTATGCTGACCGGGTCGAATCGTTACAATCGCTTCCAAGGGATCGGTTGCTTGGTTTAAATTTTCGGTCCGACGAAAACCAGCGACACACTCTTCTGATGCTCTAATGCGCCATCCAACAAGTCGAGTAAGCTCACAATACTTTTTTCCGCTGACGGGGTACCTCGTCGGCAGTGCATGTCTTTCTTGTCTGACAGAGGTCGATGTGGGTGATAGAGCGAATTGATGAGCTCGTATTTGCCACTGGCAAATTGCCAGCGCGTGGAATAGGGTGATGTAGCGACGCACCAACGTCAAAGCCAGCGATGGACATGACGTTGGTACCAATGCGTCCTACTTTCTTCAATTTTCTTCCTATTTGTCTTTGCTGACTTCTAACTGTCTTCTTGAGTTGCCAATGAGCGACCAGTTACTGACCGGAAGGCAATCACCATGTTTGGACGAGTATTGCCAAACATTGAACTTCAATGACAGTCATTTTTTTCATTTGAATTCACTAGGGAGATTCTGACCCGGTTCAAATGAACCGCGGCTCACTACTACGCTACGCTATTTCAAGATTCGACTCGAGGACTACTTAGAATCTAGTATAGTGAAATACATATACTAACATAGGATACCAAGGGAATGATAACAAGCACTTCCTCGTAGCCGACAAACAACTAACCATTTCAATCTCACTTTCCAATTTACCTTCTTCAAGGCACATCAGTAGCCTCCTGCGCCTTACCTTCGAGTCCCCATCGTTGGACTCTCGCTGCCCTCCTCCGCTTCGCTCTTCGCCACGCGACTCTTCCCTCGTCGCTGTTCCTCTGCGCCGTGCTCTCACCAGTCGTCACATCTGGTAACCCTTGCTGTTTTTCGTCCGGGAGGGGTTCTTCATTCTCTATGCGCTACGCGACACGTGGTAAGCCGATCGTTGAGCGTGTGTCGTCGTTTGTTCGCCTTCACATTCGTCGGATTGCATTGTTGCGACCTCATTTCATACGGCTTGCCGTTTGGAATTTCTGGGTGTGTACTGCACTAAGCGTCTTGTCTATAAGAACCGGATCCAGTTAGTACCCGTACCTAACGCGCATCCCTCATCAACGTTATCGCTGATTGTGTGTGTACTGTAAGTGTATGATCTATAAGAACCGGATCAATTCAGTACCTGCACCCCTCGCCGCTGTCCACCTGTACCCGACTACCTTTTTCGGCACTTCATCGCTGAAGTTTGTGACAAATAACCATGAATTCCTCTAAATCCTCAAGGATGGTCTACTGACGCTATTACGCAGAAACTCATCGAAATGGTTGACAAGCAGCAACAACTGCTTGAAGCGATGAGTAAGCGTGAAGTGAAAGTGAAAGGTATCCGTCTGCCTGAATGTCACGGCACGACAGGAGAATCTGTTGATTCTCATACACGACGTGTACCAGCAGGAATTGAGATCGAGTTGAACAAGCAGGAACAACACACTTTTGACCAGGTGAAGGAATTGTTAGCGACGTCGACGACATTAGACTTCCTCGACGACAACGCCATAACGTGCCTGTTCACAGACGCATCCGACATTGGTTGGGCAGCTATCGTGACCCAAGTGAAGGAGTACGTTCCGAAGCGGCAAGTCACAGAGCAGCAACACCGACTCATCTAGTGCATGAGCGGGACTTTCACTGACAGCCAGTTATACTGGACTGTCATAGAGTAACTTGCTCAGTACTTTGAAGCCAAAAACATCGATTTACAAAACGACAACTAAAGTTCTCAAATTTTAGCTATTACTACTGCGAATGTTAAAGGAAATGCTGCCGCTTCGAACGAGCTGAACAAGCGTGAAATCAAGGACATGCAGGACATTATGGCCAGGTTGACCGACGAATTTGTGCTTCCGGATTTGCAAGAGCGTTTGCGTGATCAATTTTACGCGCTCAAGCAGAAAAATTGCTCTAGCTTGGAAAATTACATCTCTCGCTTCCGTGAAGCCATCATGCAAGTGACAGACATGAGTGAGTTGGACAAGATCACTTACTTCACACGTGGGCTCGTCAGTCCTACGCGCGAAGAGGTGCAATATCGTCGCTGTACAACAGTGTCGCAGGCAATAAAGATTGCTTTGGAGTATGATCGATCGCATCATGTCCGCGGTAAGAACTATCGTCCATTGTTCTTTTCGCATGACCGATCACGCTCTCAGCCAAACAACAATTCGCACAAACAGCAAACCACGTCTATGCGTGTTCAGGAGAACGAGCTCGAGCCAATGGAAAAAATTGACGCAGGGGGTACTAGAAACCGCCGTTCTGCTTCTTCTTCGTCGTCTAACAAGCGATGTCGCTACTGCAAGAGATCTGGTCATGTCATTGAGCAGTGCTTTAAGTGGAAAAACAAGGAGAAGTATGCTCAAAAGAACCGTCTCGAGCAATCTGCCGCGAGCTTTATTTCTTCTTCTCCTACAACTGCTGCTGCTGCTGAACGAGCGTCTATGACTCGTTCCGATAACGGGGTTGAGGTTATTGAAGTGAAAGAGATTTCCACGTGCACCTTGTCGTCCATGCATCGTGAGAACGAGCTCATTCGTAAACAAGGGACTTGTGATGGGAAACCTGTCGTCATCATGTTCGACAGTGGTGCTACATGCAATGTTGTTCGCCCAGGGTTGGTCGCTAACACCGTTACGTCTGGTGTCTCACAAATCACTCTGTTCGATGGAACTTCTACGAAAGCGCGTTCTGTACAGAAAGGTCAAGCAACTATTGATGTTGGTCGCTACCGTTTCCGCAAACTTCAAGTCATGGAATGGTCACTTGGATCTGCCCATGATGTCATCTTGGAAAACTTTGGCTTACCAAGTTTCAGCCATGCATCAATTGGCGTACGCATGAGATTTCGTTTCCAAGTGTGCCTTGTGCACCTCCATCGACGGTTGCTAGTCAAGCGGCTGTAGAGATTGCTGCTGTTGACTTTGAACGTAACGTGAAAAAAAATGTGTACAAGGAAGTGTACCGTGTCAAGTTTTGTGCGTCACGCCAGCTAGTTATTCGACTCCTGTTCCGATCACTCACTTATTTAAGCGGTTTACTGACGTCTTTCCGGAGACTTTACCGGATGGCTTGCCGCCTTCACGTCGTGTAAATATCTCAGACTCCACATGAAACCTGATGCTGTTCCTAGTAGCCGTGCGTTGTTCCGCCTGTCTAAGGTTGAGCAGGATGCACTGGATCTCTTCGTGGTAGAGAAGCTGAAGAAAGAATGGATCGAAGTTTCTGATTCTTCTTGGGTGTCCAACATCTTCTGGATTCCAAAGAAAGGTTCTACCTCTAGACATCAGCTGTCTCGCTCTGAGTGGGTACGCTCTGGTAACTCGAGCTTGTCTATCCGTTGGGGCATCGACTATCGCTATGTGAACTCGCAGTCGATTGTTTCAAAGATATCGCTGCTTCGCATCGACGAACTCTTCGATCAGATATCTGGCTGTGTCATCTTTTCAGTTCTAGATTTGGCTCAAGGATATCACCAGATGCGTATCGCGCTCAAGAGTCGCAAGTATACCGCCTTTCGCACGCGCACTGAAACTTACCAGTGGTGTGTAGCTCCTATGGGATTGGCTGGTATGCCTGGTGTTTGGTCTCGCCTCATGAGGGTACTCTTTGCGAAGTAACGATTCATTGTTGTCTACTTGGATGACATTTGTGTCTTTTCCACCAGTCTGGAAGAGCATGTTGAACATCTTCAAACTCTCTTCGAGGTTCTACGTCGTGAGAATTTGTTCTGTCATCTCTCGAAGAGTCACTTCGGCCAGTCCGAAGTTAAGCTTCTCGGCCATACGATTTCTGCCAAAGGACTTGCTGTTGATGCTCACAAGACTGAAACGATTGCAAAGTGGCCTACGTCACTAGATTAAAAGCAGCTCCAAAGCTTTTTGGGTCTCGCTGGTTATTAACGTTGCTTTATCCATTATTACGCCATTATTGCGTTGCCTCTTGGTTCTCTTGTCAAGAAAGAACATGTCTGGAGCTGGGGTCCAGAACAGACGCGTTCGTTTTAGGAAATCAAACTCGCTCTTCAAGAAGCACCCGTGTTGCTGCTACCGGATTACGAGAGGGGTTTCATCGCGACAGTAGATGGCTCTGGCTACTGTGATGGTGGCGTTATTCCTCGAGTTCGTTCAGGTCAAGATCATCCGATCACCATCTTCTCGAAGAAACTTGGTCCTCACGAGATCAATTAGCCAGCATACGAGAAAGTACTCTTCGCTATTAACTTAGCGTTGGACAAGTGGCGTCACTACGTATATGGTCGTGAATTTGATATCTACACAGACAACACTGCTTGCAAATGATTTCTCCACAACCCCAAGGTTTCAGCTAAATTGGCTCGCTATTTGACGTTTTTCGCACAGCTTACGCTCAAGTTACATCACGTTAAGGGACACCTCAATGTGGTTGCCGAAGCGTTGTCGCGTCAATCTTCGGACCATGCGATCAATACGGTTTCGTTTCATTCGTGTACCACGCGCTGACATGCCCGCGCAGCTCGAAACCTGACGAATCGACGCGTTTATGCCGATTACCGCAGGCTTAATAAACATTTGGTTAGACCACCCTCTCG